TTGAAATTAATTAATTAAACAAACATTAAAGTTTACACCTTAGCGCCATAGGGCCATAGGGCCATAGTGCAATAGTGCCTTAGTGCCTTTGTGGCAGGCAGCTCCCATAACCATCCCAATAGTGCACTCTGCACTAAAAATGACATATTAGGCCCCTACATGGGAATGAGGCTGAGTTAAAATGCTTATTTCTAAGCCTTTTAACTTAATATATTTAGAAGAATGAAAAATTACAGAATATTGGAAAAACCGTCTGAACAACCTTGACTTTTTATCAATTCAAAATGTCGTCCTCGGTCCACCCCGCCTCCAGCGCCATTCTGGTGCCCACATCATAGTGCAGTCCTACAGTTATTGGTTTTCCATCTCGGCCATTTCCATTACTTCTTTGTTGACTTTGTTGGTGATTCTGTCCTGCCAGCATATCTTAGGTATTTTCATTCAGAGGGCATCTGTTTTGAAAGACGATGATCTTATTTTAAAGTTTGTCACTTTTGTTCAACTTCCATGTCTTGCAACCATACATCAAGAATGGTTTAACCAGAGTCTTGTATAGCCTGATTTTGGTTTACAGTGAAACCTGTCTTAAGCAGACCCCATATTAAGCAGACACCCTCTATTAAGTGGACACCAGCTGAAGTCCCAAAATTTTCTTCCCACATTTACTGTAAATAGACCTGCATTCAGGGGACACCTCTGTTAAGCGGATGCAGACGCCAATATTAAGCCATTTTGTTGCACAAAACCTGCGATAAGCGGACACTTCAAGGGCTTTTTTACTTCTAAAAGCTCGGCTCAGACTCCTTTAACATTGTTCAGCAATGCCATTTCAAAGCTAAGTAGATAATTCCAGATCGATGCGTTGCCTGACTGGACATTGTGCTATGAGCAGTCTTTGATCTACACTGTGTTACACTGTGTTTCAAAAAGGGTTAATTATTAACTATTATTGCTGAACCTGTTTAGAGCAGACACTCTGTATTACGAGGACACTAGTCAATGTCTCAAGGGGGTCTGCTCAATACAGGTTTCACTGTACTGCTCCAGATCATCCTCAATCTCATTAATACCCCTCTGGCTTTGATTTCTCTATTGTGGATGCCTTGCATTGTGTGCCTCCACCTTCCTTGGAAACTGTAGTTCCCAGATACACAAATTTGTCAACGTTCCTATCCCTTGCCCATTCACTTCCACTGCATCATTTATTTGAGAATTTATTCATATCAGCAATCACCTTGCAGGTATTGGTTTATCTTGCTTACCCTCTGGAATGGAGTTAGCCATATAAAAATATTGAGGTTACTAATTGTTTGTTTGTTTGTTTGTTAGGGCATGGGCATGCTTTTCAAATGAGATGGTGCACAACATCCAATCAAGAACAATCCAAATGCAATGATTTTAAATATGTGTTGATGAAAATAGATAATACTACCACACCTGGATG